TGTATGCAATATTTCAATATCAGAAGATTTGAGTGATAAGTGAAAAATCTCAAAGGGGTGTGACTGTAATTCTCTCTTTCTTTAATTGCTTTTGTTTTCGGTTCCATTATAAGTGAGTAGCCCACTCTGGTTTGATCGGATAAGGGAGTCTCATCCATAAATTAGGGATTTTGTCTCAATTAGGGGTTTTTCAATGAGTAAGTATTTTGGGTTATTTGAATGATTAAAGTCGAAAACACTATCGATATGTATATCTTCTTGTTTACCCGTAGATAGTTAAGTTTGACACGAGTTATTCTTGAAATTACTACAATCGAACTGGGTTTAATTAATCCTTTCAAAATCAATTCAATTAATTTGAATACATTTATTATTTACATTTGAGTATTTATTGAATATTTTATGCTTAAGTGCGTTTGAGTATAATCTCAAGTGAGTAATAGAAATTGGGTCAAAATACTTGTTCATGGTGAAATAAATTCTACCGATTAACTGATCTTTCTTTTAATTGTTATTCTTTAATTGCTAAATCCTACAAGCAAATCTTTGAAAATTCAGAGTTTTTGTTTTCTTTTATCTATCACCTTTTGAACCAACCGTTTTTCTTGAGAAGATGATCTCGGTAATCGATCGAGTTTTAAACACAATACCTCTTTCTATGTTTAAGAATTCTTTGTTAATTTAACCAACTCAAAAGAGCAAGCAAGGACGTTAAAGTCGAGTCTTCAACTATGAGAACACGCGTACACTTGTGAAAAGGGACGTACCTAAAAAAGGACATATCAAGAGAGGAAGAACAAAAAATAATTTTTTTCAATATAGGTTGAACTTGCAGACACTGATTAAAATAATTGATGAGATAACGATGCGGTAGAAACACCTAATTGAGCTGAGGAAAGCTCTCTTTTGGTTGTGGATAGAAGTCATCATTAACAAAATGGTCAATGCAAAATCATGCGAGAAGAGTGATTATGATATGTATGACTTGATTTTACGTTCCAATCTAGAGAACTCAAAATTTGAAATAAGTGGCAAACTTATAAGACTCAGAAGAACCGATATCAATATGATATTCAAAATTCATGATGATTATGAAGACATTGATAAATATACAAAAGAGGACAACGCGTTAGTGTCAAAACGATTTTATAAGGATAGTAGACTAACAGCCTCAATAATAAAAGATAGGCTGTTTGCAGCCGCAAAAAAAAAAAATGCACGTTAACGATTACGTAGATGTTGTGAGGCTAATGTTTTCAAAATGAGATGAATCAGATAAACTAAGGGTTTATTTTCTAATAGACATATTACAGGGATATCCTTGAACAATTAAAAATGAGTTCTTTCAATTTTATTTTGAAGCATGTGGAAGAAAGATTGAAAGGATGGGCGTGATGAGTTGGTGAATTCCGTATATTTCAAACCGTTGGTGGAAAGACTATGTTATTTAACTTCTATTTTATTGCCTTTGAAATTAGCCTTTTCAGGATATTCATTGAGTCTCCACATAAATCCCACTTACAAACAGTAAATTTTTATTTTAATATGTTAAAGGTACCCATGATGATGACATTTTTTGTTCTCCTACTATTTATTGTGAACTTTTTTTTTTTTGAAAGAGACGGTAGAATTTCGAATAGATAGGAATATCCAAAAGGAGAAAGGGCATGATAAATTCAGGTGTCTTGTCCTCCTATACATCAAACCTAGTAATATGAAGTGCATTTCTAGCTAGTTGATGTGTGGCTATATTGGCCCTTCTATGAACCGTTGATACACTAAAAACCCGATTGCAAATGAAACTCCGTATATATATTTGCTAAGACTGAACCCATAGGATCAAAATCAACTTCAGTTGTATTGATCAGCTCCATCACATTCCTTGAGTCACATTCCAGAACAACCTCAACATAGTTGTTGTGTATGCCAAAAAGAACAGCCTCTCGAGCAACAAGTAACTCAGCTGATTACGCTTCACAAACCGAAACAAATTTTTTGGATAGGCCAGCAATAAACATACCTCTGCCATCCCTAACTACAACGCGCGCGCCAATAGTCCCGTCTGATTCAAACAACGCCCTATCAAAGTTTGCATTCAAAGAGACAGTTGTAGGAAGAGACCACTTCTCCAATCGTATAGCAAATGTGGAACGATGCTCAAGATGTAAGTACTGTAAAAAAGCATTCAGGTACTCACTTGCTTCCATACCCACAGATAAAGGGTCCTTTTTTACGTTATGGAGAAGGGCATTATTTTTGTGAGTCCATACAAACCAATAATGCACCAAGAACAATGAGAAATTGATGGGAATTCAATTTTTCAAACATCTCCCAAAGCCAACAGTCAATAGAATTTACTGGAGTTTACATAGACTATTGTAAGACACTGCCATCCCATGATATTTGCATGGAATATCCATGTGAAATATCTGCATGGAGAACAATAGTAACACCAGGTATCTCTAGTTTGGTACTCAAGACACCTGTCGCAATTGTGTCTGAAGTTGGTGAACTTGAAGTACTGGTTGATGAGGGTTAGAGGATGATTGTGATCACTGGAGTTGATGATTTGAGGAAATAAAGCACAACTCTTATGGATGTGGAATTGGCACGTCAAACATGTATAAACCATGTCTCTCTTTTCCCTGCGGCAAATATTACAATTTAAAGGCAGCTCAAGACAATTTAGTTCCTACGAGCATTTCCAATGGACTTTTTATCCCACCCAATTCTCTATTTTGGAAGTTAAAGCATGAAAAATCTAGTTCCAATGTAAATGGCAATGCATGATAATTTCTCGTTGGAATTAAAAGGTGTTCTCTTGAAATAAGAGATTATAATTAATGGATATATGCTATATGGAATGGATCCAACCTACATTTAATAAAACTTGTATACTTTCTCGTTATATTAGTGAAGTCATGTTCGACAAAATATTCAAATTTTTGCCCAACAATTTTAATCTCAAGTGTCTAACATACCCTCAATAGTTATATTTAATCAAAACTTGTTTGGAAAAACTAACAACTCCTAAATTAGGAATTGTATTAGTTTTAACAACTCCTAACTTGAAAAATTGTGCTAGTATTAAAATTATTTTGTTGTGGGCAAGACAATAGTTTTAAGTATTCACATATGGTGTCACTCTATTGTAATGAATAAACTTTTAATTAAATTTTTTGTTGAACATATTTTTTTATTGAGCATGTTACTGTTTAGTATTACTATTTATTAGTCATAATCCGTGCTTGAACGTACGATAAAATATAAAATTCGAGCGTCCAAAAAAACCTATTCTACTATATTAAATAATAATTTTTTAAAATCCGCAATTCGATAAAATTTTATCAACATATGTATACTATCGTACATAGATAATATTTGAAATAAAAATTATATTAAACTATAAATTAATCAAATACTAAAATAATTAGACATGTAATAGAAATAAGTGATGTGATGTTTTTGGAGGCATTTTATTTGTGATAATGACTAGATCTAGGTTAATTGTCTAGGTTGCTCTACGTACCCGTTATCGGGATCAAGCCAATTCGTAGTTCGGGGTAAGAATTTGAAATTTATTTAAAATTAATTTGGACTTACGACTGTATCTAGTTTAACTAGACTGCTAACGTATCCGAAAGAGAATCAAGTCGAATGTAGTTCAGAATAAGAATTTAGAATTTATTTGAAGTTAATTTGGACTTGCCATTGCACCTAATTTAACTAGATTGCCTATGTATCCGAAAGAGAATAAATGAAACGTAGTTCGAAGTAAGAATCTTATGCCAAACAAGCCAAGTATAAAGCAAAGCAAAGATGCCAAAGCAAAGAATCTTGTTTACAAACAACCCAATCCTGCTTACAAACAACCGTTTAAAAAGCAAAAAATTTTAAGAGTGAGTTTAAATTTTGTCTGGTTTCCGATTGAAGTGATGGTATCTGGGTAACCAATAGGTAGTTGACAAGTCAGTAATTTATTAAGAAATAGAAAGCTAATTAATATGACTGCTTGCAGAATTTTAAGCTAATTAAACTGTGGTTTTAATTTAACTTAACTTGACATTAGTTATTTGATTATTTAATTAATTTAACTTGACATTAGTTATTTGATTATTTAATTAATTTAACTTGAGCCAATTAAAATTCAAGCTGATTAATTTTTTTTTACGTATTAAAATTAGAGTCGATTTGAACTTAATCTGAGCTGCTAGTGCCAACTAAAATTCGATTAGAATCGTTTAAATTTGTATTTTTTCACTTATTAAAAGTCGTGTCAAGTTAATTAAAATTTATTTTTTACATATTAAAATTTGAGTCGATTAAAATTTATATTTTTTTAGGTATCAAAATTCGAGCTAATTAAAATTTAGTGTGAGTTGATTAAAATTTGATTTGAATTAGGAAGCCGGACAAAATTTAAACAGTTTAAGAGTATATTTCACCCCACCCCACACACATTTTCTTTTCTCTTTTTCTGTTTTCTAGAGTGCAAATGAGAGCTTTAGGCATTTGTTTTGATGCATTTCAGTCAAGAGTTAAATGGAGAGAGACACAAGGAAGAGAAGGAAGGAGAAGGGGACAATGAGCATCTCTGGTGAAATTTTGCAATAAGAGTATTTGATGGTGGACAATAAGAGTACAACTTTTTTTTCTTTTTTTTATTATTCATTTTAGAATTAAGATTGTCAATGAATCATGTTGTATCTTATTTTCAATGGTTATAAGTCGTGTGATATTAAAATTTGTTTAACCTATCTTCGAACTATTATTATCATGTACATTCTACTTCGTATCATGTATCAAAGATGTATTAGGTCAAACTCGTGTCACTTATTTACTGGCGAATTTAATGAGTTCATCTTGCTTAGTACCAAACCTGTTAGCTTTTATGACATGGTTAAGTGAAATCCGCTATTAAGTTGTATGAAAAATTTGGTAGAAATTTCAATGTGTATTGTGCCGGAAAAGTATGATGAGGAAGCGTTCAGTAATCACAAATGCTTTTTCTGACTAAAGTGAAAGTGGATTCATTCCTTTCTTCCTTTAAACAAAGGTTAGGATTCCTTCCGTTCTCCACGATGAGGAAGGAACCAAAACAGAGTTTTGAACATTAATATCACTGCCTCACTCAGCCCGTAAAAAGCTACAATTAGCATCAACATCTCTCTTACTCCTTGATGACTATATTGCTTGAGAAAGAAGGTAGTGGTTACAGAAGGTTTGGCTGGGAGCCTTTTACAATATATTTTTTAGGTGGCCTTTGATATTCTCTCTCTTTTCTATTCTTTTTTCTATGTCTTACAAAGTGGCGTCATTCACTATTTATACATCTTATTATTAGGGTTTTGCAATAGTTTCTTTTTTGAGTGATTTTGTGGTCCCCTCCTCATTTGTCATGTAGTTAAACTTGGCACCCTGATGTTTTTTGTGCCCACTACGCCTAGAACGGAATGCATGAGGTATCTCCACTATTAGTGAATATTCATTTGTTAGATATCACACCTAGAAATTTAGAACCCACAGCCTGTCCCATCTAAGTATTGTCCCCTTATCCCCTGTCTATTGTCCACGTGGCGCGATTGGGTTGCTTGAGATCTGTTTTGTGCTGAGCTCCAAACTCCCGAGCAGATGCTTATCACCAAGCATGCTGGGGTTGGACTGGCATATGTCCCAAGCTGGACGATCCTAGGCTTTCATGGGGTTGAATTGTGGCTTAGACACGGTTAACGACATCCAGATGGGTTGCTTGGATTGTTTTTGATGAGCCCATTGGAGGTTTTGGACTCAAAAAAAAGGGTCTAGAGTTAAATCCATCATCGTCAGTATCCAACTCCAATATAATAATCTATTCTAGTTGAGAAATAGTCTTTATTACAAATAACATTTAATAAAAAATGTGTTTTTGTCATTTATTTTACTCAAGATCAGAAGATACTTCCATTAAAGGAGAATATATATAATATGTGCTCATATGTTGTGAGATTGTCTTCTTGGGACTTTACTTAGATGAATTTAATGGGAAACTACTAGAAAGAAAGAAATTGTGTTTCCACTAACAACTACAATTTTTGTGTTCAATAAAAAATGTTTCGATCAAACACACATGAGATATACAAGCATCCAAGAGTTAGGCACTTTCTTTCGTATTAAACTCATAAAATTTGATTTAGATATCATAGAGCTTAGATGAACACCACATCAATGTTATCATAACCGGCAAAGATCTTGCTTCCTTTACAAAGTTAATGTATATTCAACAACAAAAATACCTACTACATAATTCATATTGATTCAAGTCTTACTATGAAAAAAAAAACAGATTTTTATCATGGGTGCGTCTATAAATAGACCAAACAATAAGCGCTTCCTTGAAATAGTTCTTTTTGGTTGTCGGCGCCGACTAGGGACGCATCTAACTTTAAATTTTGCGTGTGTAAATCAGGGAGGAACAAAGCAAAAAAATAGAGTATCCCGTGTACTCCAACATTTACATTTCTCAGTTGTAGCAACCTAAACTCGTATTATAAAACCAACCAAATGTGCATGATCCCCGCTAAGCCAACTCATAACCACCCTTCCCCTAGCTAGCAACTAACAACTAGCAAGATGAGAGTTCTAGTAGCAAAAATATACATTGTTCTTCTCGCAATTGTGGCCTTGGAATCCAAGGCGGCGGTGCACCGGACTATCCCTCCGTCTCCTTCAATTTGTGGCGTGCCACCTGGGCCACATACAGAGACTTCATAGGGGAACTGCGGGAAAGAGTGACACGGGGAACCGAACTAATAAATGGTGTACCAGTGCTGAGACCCGCAAATTCAGTGCCGGTTCGAGAACGGTTCGTTCTGGTCCGTCTCATCAATCACGATGGCAACATCGTCACCTTGGCAGTAGATGTGGTGAACCTTTATGTGGTGGCTTTTAGCGCAAATAGAAGATCCTATTTTTTCCGCAACTCTACGGAACTTCAACGCAACAATTTATTCGTCGACACTACTCAAACCTCGTTACCCTTCACCGTCAACTATGGCCAAATTGAGAATGCGCCAGGAATTCTCAGGGAATCTATCCCTCTGGGACCCACTCCCCTAGCTGATGCCACCACAAGGTTGTGGTACGGTAGGAGCGTAGCCGAACCGCTCCTTGTGGTCGCTCAGAGGTCGCAGAAGCAGCAAGGTTCGGACGCATTGAGGAACTTGTCCGCAGAAGCATAACCGATCAAAACACTTTTACACCACGCGGTTTGATGCTGAGCATTTTTCTTGTCAATGAACATCTGATAAAATAGAACGAAGAGCTCTTAAAAATCCTACAACGCCCACAGGAGACGCGACCGGCCCAAGGAGGCCAAAATAATCTACCACCAAGGGAGCAACCGCATCTCGACCCCCTCAGAGAAATTAATGAGGTGGGAGAGAATAGCCAGACCTTGCGTCAAAAACCTCGCCTACGAGGAAAGAAAAAGTCCTCATCAACTCAGTCAGAATGATATACTGGGAAAACACTTGCTTGCACTGGATGGAGCTAAGGAAAGACTTATTTTTTTGGGTAAATGAATGAGTTTTATAACAAAGCAAAAGCTGCAATGATAGAATCAAGCTACAACAGCCTACATATCTCAACATGAGATGACCAAAAGAGAAAAATAAATCTAGAAGGGGTGCTGTGTAAGTGACAGGAACCTTCACAGATTAAATTACATAGTCGAAAAAGAACAACATCATCCTCATGTACCAAAACAAGAGCTAGGTAGCCTCTAGTCAAGGGCTAGTTCCCTGTTGCTGGGGGTGTTCTTGAATTTAAGTGAGAACAGTCTGTATCTTACAGTGGTGAGGATGTTCTGCTGGATATGTATAGGATTCCTGAATTCATTGATGAAAATTCTTTGGTTCCTTTCCCTCCAGTTAACAAAAACTATAGTTGCCAAATACAGGTTCCTGACTAAGTTGATGAGGACTTTTTCTTTCCAATCATTTGTATAATGTTGTACCAATTGCTGCCATGGAAGCCTTAAGAATTTCATATAGCATTTGGAAGATATAAATTCCCAAATTCTTCCAAAGAAAGAGCATTCAAAGTATAGGTGAAGGTGAGATTCATGTCTCTCCCTACATAATACACAAATTGTACTAGTATTAGGAGAATAACTCTCAATTATGTCTTTAGTTGCCAACCTCTCCTTGATTGCTAGCCATAGAATTAAGCTAGTCCTGGGAATATTGTGACTAAACCAGACAATGTTATGCCAACTAACTTCAGGTTGTTTATTCCTCAATTTTTCCAGTGCTGATTCTGCAGTGTAGATGCCATTACTTTTGAGAATCCATTTGACCTTGTCTTGCCTATCCACTTTAGGAAGATAATTAGGCATTGAGGCAATGATTTCCATAATTTCCCCATTGTGCCTTGCATTCATTCTTGGCCAAACCCACTGGTTATCATGAATTATTTGACTGACTTTAGCAGAATGGGGCAACCTTGTGTGAGACATAATCCTAGAAGACAAACATCGCAATAAAGGCCCTGCAGGATGCCAGTTATCAAACCAAAGTGAGGTATTTCTTCCATCCTCAATTATGCTGAGGAAAAATAATCTAGTTGTATCTCTCATCCTTAGAATCTTCCTCCAGTTCCATGAGCATACATGTGGTATTTTAGCTTCCCAAATACTTTTCCCTTTTAGGTGATTTTCCAAGACCCAATTAGACCATATATTGTTCTCAGCAGTAACCAAATGCCACAGATGTCTTAACATAAAAGCCTTATTCCAGGCTTGGAGGTCTTTAATTCCCAAACCCCCTTCCTTCTTTGGGAGGCAGACTTGATCCCAAGCAACTTTAGCTCCCCCAGCTTTGAGTTCTGGACCTGACCATAAGAACCTCCTTAAAAATTGCTCAATATGTTTTAGCACCTTCTTAGGCAAAATCAAATGACTGGCCTAGTAGATGGCTATACTGCACAATACAGAACGTATAAGTTAGAGTCTTCCAGCAAACGAAAGAGATCTGTTGACCCAAGATTTGATCCTAGATTCAACATTCTCAACAAGTGCCACACAGTCCTGCATCTTCAACTTGGTTGTAATGATTGGAATACCTAGATATTTCAAAGGTAAGCTTCCCCTTGAGTAGCCAAAGCAGTTAAAGATATGCATCCTTTGTTCCTCACTAACAGTTGAAATAAAAATGTGGCTTTTCTCTGGATTAGCCCTAAGCCTAGACAATACCTGGAATTTTTCCAAGGCCTTTCTTAAAACCATAGCTGAATTAATATCACCATGACAAAACATCATCAAATCATCTGCAAAGCAATATGGTCTATTTTGAGTCTATTGCATTTCCAACGAAACTTGAAGTGTTGTGTTTCCTGAATCTCTTTCTTTAATATCCTTGAGAAGACTTCCATGACAATCACAAACAAAAAGGAGGACATTGGGTCGCCCTGCCTAAGAGCCCTTCCACTTGGAAAATATCCAACCAATTCCCCATTCATGTTTATAGGGAACTTTGGAGTAGAAATGCATGCTCTGATCCATTGGACAACCATAGGGGGAAAGTTAAGTGCTAACAATGTCTTAAGATGAAATCCCCAATCAACCGTATCATAAGCTTTCATCAAATCCACCTTTATCGTACACTTGGGGCTACCTTCCTCCTTATGGTAATTTCTCATCAGTTCTTGTACCAGGAGAATGTTGTCCCTAATCCTTCTACCTGCCACAAATGCCATTTGAGAGGGGCTAACAATATTTGGTAGCAAGGGTTTTAGCATATTGGCAATGATCTTGGAAATTATCTTGTATATAGTATTACAGCAAGAGATAGGTCTAAATTCACTCATGGGGGATAGGTTCTGGACTTTGGGCACGAGAGCAATGATTGTAGAATTTATCTCTTTAAGAAGCTCTCCAGTTATAAAAACTCCTTAACTGCTAAACAAATATCCTCACCTATAATGGACCAAGCTTTTTGGAAAAAAATGCCCATTGAATCCATCAGGGCCGGGGGCTTTATTCCCATTGAGGGAAAAACAAACATTTATTATCTCATCGCTTGTAACGTCATTACTTAGAGAAGATGTTTGTTCATCTGGCAAGGGTTGGATCAAATTCCTTAGGACTGAACGCATGTCAGGATGCTGTGAGTTGGTTTTGCCTAATAGAGACTTGAAAAAATGAATGGCTTCAAGCTTCACCTCTTCCTTTTCTTCCACTAAAGTGCAATCTTGCTTGCGGATATTAGTGATTTTTGCCCTGTTGAGCCTATTGGTGATTGAAAGGAAAGACTTCATTTATTCAAAGCAGACTTATTGGAAGAAGGATCCTTGGATTCTATAGTTGATGGATGTGAAGGTGTTTTCCATACAGCATCTCCAGTCCTCCTTTCAGTTAGCAACCCAAAGGTAGATATGTATTTACTTCTATGAAGTTAACGTATCTGCTCTGTTATACTTTGCATTCAGTTAATGGTACAACCGTACAAGGACTATCATTCTATCTTACTCTATTTTTTATTTGTTTTTTTGCTCTTGATTTTCTTTTGATCTGCCTTTGTCTAATTTTCTGGTGTACATGGTACACTTGTGTCAAGAGGTTTTTAGTTTGGAAATGGAATGACATACCAAAAAAGTCATATCTGCTCTATTTTGTGCAAAAATTTCCATTTAGCCACTTATTTTTAACTTCCTAGGATGATTATAGAACTTATGTTTGCTTGTCCTCGTCAAGCATCAAAATTTTGTTTCAGTGTATTATTTTGGTCATATAAAAAACTAAAGTGTTCTAAAGATGTTTCAGAAACGTTTCAAAAGTAGAATAGAAACTGTTAGAGTATGTGTGGCTTCATATTTGCTGTGTGCACAATGGCAAGGAGGCAAATGCCGCAGCGAAGCCCTGCGACGGTATCTGCTTTGCGGGATTGGTATATTTTATGTATGGGGGAACGCTGATTAGTTGGGGGTGCGAGGGCAACGCCCCCGCGGTACGGTACAAGGATATTTTGTAAATACATCCGTACTAGGGTTATATAAAGACTTAAGATGTAACCCTACTTTGAATAATGAAAAAGAACGGTGGCTCGCTCTTGTGGATGTAGGCACATTGCCAAACCACGTAAATCTCTGTGTTATTTTCTCTTGCTTTCTTAATTGTTTGATTCCTTATTATTCACCATAATTGCTGCACGATCACAACAACTGGTATCAGGGCAAGGCTACGACGTCTAGGATTTCTTCTGCAAAATTTGACATCATGAAGTTCGACGAAACTAAGAATTTTGGATTATGACAGAGGAGGGTGAAAGACTTGTTAGTGCAGCAGGGCATGGTGAAGGCGTTATACGAAAAACAACCGGCAGGAATGGACGACATGGATTGGAAAGAATTGGAAGCGAAGGCTGTGGCGACTATAGGCTTTGTCTGGCTGATGACATGATGTATCACGTCACGGATGAGGAATCACCGGCGGAAGTTTGGTTGAAACTAGAAAGTCAGTATATGTCCAAGTCCTTGACGAACAAGCTCTATCTTAAGCAGAAACTATATGGTCTTAAGATGTCAGAGGGCTCGGATCTGACCCAACACATCAATGTGTTCAATCAGATCATCAGCGATCTGAAGCTAGTTGATATGAAGTTCGAAGACGAAGACAAGGCGTTGATGTTGCTGAATTCCCTACCAGCGTCTCCTACGTACGAGAATTTGGTTATGACTCTGATGTGGGGGAAAGAAACCCTCGAGTTAGAGGATGTCACAGGTGCTCTGTTAGGTTTTCATCAGCGGAAGAAAGCCAGTGATGAGGCTTCACAAGGTGAAGGGCTTGTGGTGAAAGGTAACCAGGAACGTTGAAGAAGCAAATCTCGGAATGGATCAGGTAACAATAAAGCCCGGTCCAAGTCGAGGAAGAAGAAGAAGAACGTCTCTATCTCGTGTTACAAGTGCGGGAAAAAGGGGCACTTTAAACGGGACTGTCCAGAGAAAAAGAAAGGGGATTCAGATGACAAAGAGGGTTCGTCAAAGTCTGCAAACGTAGTGGAATAAGAAGATTCAAAAAGCGGTGACGGTGATATGTTTTCTGTTTCATCCGATTCAGATCGTCTAACATATTCCTAGACTATGGATTCAGCATGTTCCTATCACATGACACCCAACAAAGATTGGTTTGACACCTACAAGTCAGTAAATTATGATTCTGTTCTGATAGGTAATGATGCATCCT